TTTAGGCTCTAGAACACAAAGGCTAAGACGTGTTCCTTCCTCGGCTATAGTTGCAAGATTCATAAGTCAACAACGCGCTCAACACCACATCAACATACATTTTAATTACTCCTTGGCTGAGCTCGGCCGACAAGTTGGCATGCCCTTCATTCAACCGAAGGACGTAATTAGCTTACTCACTATTCGGCCTGCGCGCCAAGTAAGCTAAGTAGTTTTTAGGATCAACAGTTTCAAGCATAGTTAATTACCTTTGGGCTTCCTGATGAACCACTATTAAAGCATTCTTCCACACTAGGAAGTGGCTTTGACCGAAGGTAATCATTGTGGACGCTATCAAATACATCGTCGAGTCTAGCAAGAAAGTCATAACCTTGCCCATTCATCAACTCTACCTTGTGACTCTTCAGATCAGCAGTACTGACTCTTTTGCTAGGACGACACTTATCGAGTTCTTGCCAGATACATTTCAGTTTGTGATCTTGCTTTGTTTGGGTAGCCCTGCAGCGGAGTTAATAGATTTGAGACTTGTTAAACCCAATATAAACATTTGGGTTGTGATGAGTCTATATTTTACTATATATTTTACCCTAATCTTAGTTTATTTTAGAAAAATTTTGATACTTTGAATTGTATTGTCAATATAGGACTTCCGACTTCCGACTTCCTCCACGAAAAAATGATCAAATGGACCAATTTCATAGTGATTCTAATTGGAGGATGTTTGTGAGTTGCTTAGCTTGATCGTGTCAAAATATCATATTTTCCACCAATCGGTTATTTTCTAGCGATAGAATAAAGAAGTAGTGTGCAGTGTTGTCAAAATAACGTTGTAGGGTTAATTGAGCGTTTTGGCTTTCAAGATGGTATCTTTTGATAACGGGCCCTTCTGCAAAGTTGTTCAGGACGTCCTAAACTTTAATTCAAGCAGTTTTGGGGCTGATTTGGAGCCCTGAAGGTCCAAAAAACATGGGATTCTTTGTGTCTGCTATGATTTCTCAAAGTTTGAATAAGAATATATTTTCTAGTTATTTTATTATATTATGTTTCCTAATTTTTATAAGACATTTTCTAGGTAAGGTTTTATTTTGTATTATTAATAATAAGGCTACTTAGACATTAGGTGGTTTTTTTTTGGGGGAAGGGAGGGGACGTGTTGTACCATACATTGGACCTTAGTATTTGGGCTTCATGACCTAGCCCATGATGTATATAGGAGGTGAAGGAAACCCTTATTTATATAAAAGGGATTCTTCACCCTCGCTTGAAGAGAGAGCAAATGAGGGCAAATAATAGAAAAAGAGAGAAAACCCTAGCATTCATAATCTCTATGTACATTGTAACCCTCAATTTATGTAGTGAAATTGAATCGACATCAGTGTAGATGTAATCCTAACTTGGGTGAACCACGATATATTTTGTGTTCTTGTACGTTTGTGTGATTTACGGTCAAATTTACGTTGATCCAAGATTGACCCGATTTTGTGCATCAACATTTAGTGCTGTCAGTGGGAATCGACATGAAAAGCTATATCGGTTCTCTCTCAATTTTTCATCCCTCCACCGTGAAACCGTCACAACCTCACCACACTCCACCGTTAATCTACAAACCCGAGAACCCAAAACCTCCCTCTTTGGCTTTTCCAGAAAACCCCAAATCCCCAATCTCTTCTTCCGTCATTCAAGAACTCGAGAGAGAAGGTGATGCTTTTGGAGCGAGAAAAAAAATTCCAACTTCCATTTCCTCTCTCGGTTATTTGGTTCTCTCTTCGGTTGTGGGATTAGAGTTACAGCCTTTGCAGAACTCCAGAGCCGACCTTTCTCCTCGAATCACAAGGAAATCTGAGAGCTTTTTCCGTTCTTCTCAATGGCATTTGAAAATTACATGAAAAATGGTGGATTCCTCAGAAGAATCAAATCGCAGCCGCTGCTCACCCAGGCTGCAACTTGCAGCCGTGACCTTCAAATCGCGCAACTCAGGAATATCGGCTTCTCTCCAGCCGCACCGCGGTGGGTCGGTCTACGAAACCCAGACAAAACCACCGTCATCTAACCCAGGTCGAGGTAGCTGCCATGCGCTATTGACGGAGTCCCCTTCGTCTACTCGAAAAGCCACCAAAACCAGTTGAATCGGGGGACTCGGACTGTCATCCCCACTCAACCCGAGAGACGCCGCCGCCGCAAACGCGCCGGAGGCATCCCTATAAAATTTCCGGCCATGCGCACTGTACGGAGAAACCCCAGAAGGAGATAAGATCTTTTTCTTTTGTTATTTTATTACTTTATTATTATCATTTATGTTCTATTAACATAACAGCTCATTATTTAATAATATTATTATTGCTATATATGTATTCTTATAACATGACCACTACCATAAAACGCGGCACAGCCTGAACGCCTCAGACATACTTACATTATTTTAATGTTTGTGGTGAAATACAGCTGATTCGTGGCACAATATGCATATATGTGTTCCCTAGTCTTCATATTTATCTGTCACATGACTTTTATTTAGGCATGCCGCACTTGTAATGGCACATATTATTTTATATTCATATTTTATATATTTAGTATGACACGTACCACTGTTAAGCATACACCATGCAAATGGGGTACCATATTAGAACTTGTTACCCTGCACTTGTTCGCAATCCTAGTAGAGAAAAACATGCTTTGTTTATATATTTGTTGCTAATAGTATTAATTGGTGATTATGAGGGACTCTTATCATAAAGTAATGGTAGCGCACACTACTCGGCACATGCTTTTGGTGACAAAGATTGAGTCCAAAAGGTGATCTTCTGATTGATTGGACACCCGTTTGCTAGGACACTCGCTCATTTAGATACCTATGTGATCAGATACCCGCGAGCTCAGATACCCATTTGTTTGGGCACTTACGAGATTGGACGCCCACAAACTTGGACACCCTTGAGCTCGAACCTCGACTCACAAACCTAACTTGTGGACCTAACTCAAAGACCCTACATATGGCCCCGACTTAAAGACCCAGCGTGTGGACCCGATCCGCTGACCCAACATATAGACCTAATATGTGAACTCGACAAGCGGACCTGACTTATGTCGAGAGTTCACTCATATTGAGTGCACACTCACATAGACGCATACTCGCAACAAGGAACGCCACGAGCTGAGCCGTCTCACAATGAGCATTGCCTATAGTCTAGCAACCGCCTCGCCGAGAGCACTGCCTCTAGCCGAGCAGCCTCGCAACATGTGCTACTTCTAGCTGAGTATTACTTCACGTTGAGCAACGCCTCATGTCGATTACTGATTCTGGACGACATCTAGTCATTTCGGCCCGCACATGGATTGAATTTGAAGTCTTCAGTTAAAAGACTCTCTTGACTGAAGACTTGAGGGACTTCTGTTGTACCATAAATTAGGCCTTAGTATTTGGGCTTCATGAAGGTGAACCCTCACTTGAAGACAGTGCAAATGAGGGCAAAGAATAGAAAAGAGTGAAAAACCTAGCCTCTAACCACGATATATCATTGTGTTCTTGTTCATTTATGTGATTCATGGTCGAATTTACGTTGGTCCAAGATCGACCCGATTTTGTGCATCAATAAGATGCACTACTTTGGACACACTAATTTAGAAAGCTTTTAACGATTGAAGTTTATTTACAAGCTGTTTTCTTTCCATGTTCTTAATAATATTTTGTTTTATGGTTGTTTGTAACTAGTTTCTTTTGCTAGGGCGAGGCCACGAGCTTAGCAAGAATATGTAATTTATTTTCAATGAACTACGATATTATGCATGCATGTTTTGAATTATTGATCACTGTATTTTAAACTAAGTGTCTTAGTGATTCACAACCATTATGATATTTAGAAAAGTAATTTGATGCAATTTTGGTCCGAAGGTTCCTTGAAATTGGCATCGGCTTCTTGTGGTTAATAATTGTAATTTCACTTAGGATGAACACCATGTCTTAAGGGTTGCATGGTTTTTCAAAGGGTTTTTATAAAACTTAATGAGTTTTTCATGTTCATATTTGATCCGAATGTCCGGACGGGTTGCATGTTAGATATACGTTCTATATTGGAGGTTCCAAGTAAGACATGTATTAGGAAAACTTAACCTTCAAAATATGCATGGGTAATTCATAAGTGATTGGGAGAACCACGTAGGATTGTTAAGGTGACGGCAGAACCCTAGTGTCTTTTTAAATTGGTTTTGCTAGTTGATTTCTTAATTTGTTTTTTGTTGTTTTTTTGTTAAATTCGTTTTTATTATTTTTTTTGTCACAAAATCAACATTTTCCTAAACTTTGTTTCAAGTAATTAATTAAGAATTAGTTTAAACACAAATTATTCATTTAATCCATGTGGAAACGACATTGCTTGAGCTGTTCATACTACAATTGCGTTCTACTCTTGCAAGTATTTTTAAGTATTTTTATCCTTACTTTTGTAGGTAGTAAAAATCCTATCAGGTTGCACTTTCCAAAAGGTCTTTGGCAGTTGGAAAATCAATAAACAAACCAAGTAGATGGGGTTCCATGGTTTTCAACAACCATCCTCCTAACAATTGCATCTTCAATGATTCACTTGGTATGGTCGGGATCAGTTTTATCAACTTCGGGGTTTTTTCAGTGAAATAAGCAATCTTTCCTAGCCCTGCAGCGTGTACGTCGATCATGTTCAATAAAACTTTGAAGTTTGAGTTACTTGAACCAAATGGTAGGCATTGATATTGGTGGATCCACTAGGGTTCTAGCCTTCATCTCTTTGGCCATCGATCGATTAGGATTTCGGTAGATTAGTTTGGCTTTGAGGATCAGTACGTAGACCAGAAAACATGGCCTGCTATGGTTTGTGGTTTCAGCTAGGGTTTGTGTTTGGGAAGAGACAAGTCTAAATGAATCTCCTCTGGTGCCAAGATAAAAATAATCGAGTAATTTGAGTTAATTCAATTATATATTCTTCTCTATTGAAGGTGTGATTTATATACAAGTAGTTTTACAAGAAAACCATAACAAGAAGGGAATTATAATATTAAAAAATACATACAAAAAATATTGACTCACGCAAAAAAACGGTTGTTGGTCTAACATGTAAGTCCCATGTAATACCGCATAGAGCAGCTTTACTCAAGAATTCTTCTCCTCCCTTTCAGTTCTAGGATCAACCAAAATCAAATTACAGTGTAACAAATTATAAAAATGTAATTGAAACAAAATGACATCTAAACATGTGTTTTCTGATAAGGTGAGAATCTGGATCATGAGCACCAAAGTGCTTTACTATTAATGTCTACACATTATCTCATTATCTTGTTAAAATTTCAAAGTCTGGTAAGTAACCCATTACTAATTACATAATGCAACTTTGGAAACAAAATGAATGCAGTGTGAAACATATTATGTATAAGAATGAATAGCGGAATAATATAATCACATAGCTAGAATAACGACTTACCTGAAGGAGAAATCTTGCTACGGTTAAGGCTCTTCTACGGCTCAACTCCCTTTGTATGCAATATCTCACTAAATAGGGCATGAGCTTTAGGGTTTCTTGCGAGTAATGGGGCATACCATACTTCTTCATTGGCGCAACTCAGTATTGAACAACTTCACTTTCGGGTGATGAATTTGGTGTGCTATTTATGCATATTGAAATAATTTATGACATACTCCCAGCTTCACTGGCGAAACCATTGTCGGACAGCTTCACTAGTAACGGCTAGTGTAGGTTTATTATGTATTATATTTATTCACTGGTTCAATCCAGTATCGTACAACTTCACCTTCAAGTGATGGGGCCTACCATTTCTTCACTGGTGTAACCCAGTGTCGTATAGCTTCACCCTCGAGTGATGATTTTGCCTTCGGGCGACTATGATACTCCCATTTAAGTACATTGTTATATGATTTGCGAACACTTTATGGATTTGCCTTTGGACAATTACAATACCACTATTTAAGTACATAGGTATATGATATACGAAACGTTTTACGAATTTGGCTTTCGGCGACTATGATACCCCTATTTAAGTACGCGGTTATATGATTTATGAACGTTTTACAAATTTGCCTTTCAGTGATTATGATACCACTATTTGAATACATGGTTATATTATTTATGAACGTTTTTATAGCATGCTAGAGCTTTCAAAAAAGCCTATTATGTATTACTATATGAGTTTTCTACAATTGGGGGTTAGTATGTTCACATTGGTTTTACTTATTATTATCATAAACTTTCTTCCACTCACCCTTTGTTTTGTGCACCCTTAAGGACTTAGAAACGAGGCGTACAACTCCGACATTGAGGCATTCCCATATTAGTAGCTTCGAGCCTTCCTCCCTTTTATGTAGGACCCTTTTCTTTGTAATCGCGCCTTTATATAATATTTCTCCCACTGTGTTCTTGCTTAGTGGTATGCTCTGGACATGTTCAAGCATTTCTCATATTTTAACTATCAATGATCAGTACCTGACCAATGTCATGTTTAATTTACGAATTTTTAATTATGTTTACTTTATTTTGCAACAAATTTGCATCCATGTTTTACATGTTCTTAGCATAAGCATGTTAGAAAGGCTTTCGTAACCCTCAGGTTTCGGTTCGCACTTGCCAATCATGGTATGTAGATAATACCGATTGAGATCGGGTTGTATCAGCAGGGAACCCTAATATTTACACCAAAGACGGTGGTTTAATAAGGATACTACGTACCCACTGTGTGATCGTTTTGAATCCAGACTTGTCACCATGAATATCCATAATTCATATCCTATACAAGCTTTGTAATACAATCATGACCGTTTAAGCTAGACACTCTAATAATAAATATTCCTTATTAGCTAACAAACATAGGTAATCGTAATCTCTAATAATCTCACGTGCATAACAAAAGCCAACCAAGTGTATGGCTCTCTGTGGAACTCACTTGCTGCCCTTGTAGAATTGGACAATACAACTCACGTGTCACGACTTAAACATGAACATGTGTCCTTTCATGGGTCAGCTTTTAGTTTTAATTTGAAAATTCCACCTTCAATTCCTAGCTTGCGCTGTATAAACAGTAGTAGTGACATCTTAATTTTCATACATCGATCTCATCTGCAATTATCATTGTTGTATTATTTTCTCCACCATGGAGTCCCCGATAATTACTATCAAAGTTATCATTTCATTCTTTTGTTCGTACATGCTTTTGTCGCACTTGCATCTCACCACTTTGAAACCTACTGCCTTCGCTTTGGAGGACTGTCAGTTTCCAGCCGTCTTTAACCTTGGGGACTCTAATTCAGATACTGGTGGATTGGCGGCCTCATCCCTTGTTGCACCAACCCCTCCTTATGGCGAGACATTTTTTGGTATGCCGGAGGGAAGATTCTCAGATGGCCGTCTCATAATCGATTTCCTCGGTATGTGTATTTGTTCTTTAACTACTGTAATTCTTACTTATTTCATAGTTTTCTCTTGCTTCTACTTGTTTCTTATGTGGATGAAATTACTTCTTGTTTCCAAACTGTTTCATTGATGATCTTGAAACTTAAAACAGTTTATCTGAAACTACTTGGAATAGATACCTCCGTTAGATGAAGTAGCACACATCACTATATACTTAATTTGTTCTAAATTATTAAATTAGTGTTTCTTTTCTCATAGAAGCGAAAGATTGTGTACTTTTTTTTTAATTAATGTAGGGTTTCTGACATGGAATCTCTTATACACTCTAAGATTAAAGCTTGGAGAGGTATTCGTCAATTTACCCTTTGAACTTGTAAGGATTGGCCAATTTCTCCCCTCAACTTTAATTTTAGCCAATTTCCCCTCTCAACTTTAATTTTGGTCAATTTTCCCCCTCAACTCTCATTATTAGTCAATTTGCACCCTACTATTAATTTTTTTAATTTTCCATCTATTCTTCCGTTAAGTAGGTATCCGCACGACTGCCCTTAAAGGACAAAAAAGTCATTTTCCCTACACCTTTTATCTTCTTCCTTTTCTTCGAACTTTCTCTTCTTCTTCCTTTTCTCTTTTTAATTTTCCATTTATTCTTCCGTTAATTATGAGAGTTGAGGGAGGAAATTGGCTAAATTTAAAGTTGAGGGGGAAAATTGACCAATGATCACAAATTCAAGGGGTAAATTGATGAATACCTCAAGTTTGGAAGAAGAAAGTCGAACTTCAACCATGCGTACCTGTATAAAACGAATCCAAAAGCAGAATATTATTGTTTGAAACCGTGGAGCCGGTTGCCTTTCTGTTGAATCCAAAAGCATAGTTTTCTTGGTGTGGCCCATGTTAAAAGGAATCCATTGAAGTTTATACGCTTCTCAATTGTTTGTCACTTGCCATAATTTAACTTTGATGGGATGAAATTTTTTGGCATGTAGGTCACATTATAACATAATATTATTAACTCACATGTTATAGAATAAGTGTATAACATAATTTATATGTTATGAATTTACGAAATAATATTAATTAATAAATGTAACAAGAAATATTATATCAATAATACAATTTCTTGGTGTATCAGTTGCTCAAAAAAATTTCATATATATATTCATTACCAAAATTTTTATTAAAGGCTCCACAACAAAGTTGCCTTTTAAACTTATGAAGTTTTTTTACTTTTTGTCTTTCAATTTTTTTTTCCTAAAAAATGATCATCTGTGAACGTTTCTTAAAATGATAAGTGATTATTTTTTAAGGTTATTTCACTCCAAGCATTTGTGTTTACTTTGACGAAATACTGTCTATGTATTGACTACTTCTATCTAGAATCCTAACATCTATTTTTCTTCGTTGATAATTTGCATTTAGACACAAAATGGTAGCCAAATTGAATTGTAGTTCAGCACTAGCTTTGTCAATTCTTGCAGCTAACCCCCAACGTGGGACCAACTTTATTGACTTAAGCGACACTACCCCTAAAATTCTCAAGTAGATTGTTTGCCTTCATGTTTGAGTGTCATTTCTAATTTTTTATTTTGTGCGGTCACGGTTAAGCCGTATCAATATTTTGTATTGATTTTTTTATAACGATAATAAGATAAAAAATAATAAGAATATGAAATATTAACGTGACTTAACCGTGATCTCATAAATAAAAAAAAAATGAAAATAGCATCCAAACATGACATAATCATCCCGATACCTCAGATATAGTTGTAAAATTCTTTTCTTTTCGTTTTTGGAGTTTTATCTATTCAATAATTTTTATTTTTTGTGCTGTGGTGGTTGTCTGACAAAGCTTTTGTGGTTCAGCAAATAGTGTTGGCCACCCTTTTCTAAGCGCATATTTGGATTCACTTGGGACCAACTTCTCGTACGATGCAAATTTTGCCACTGCAGCTTTCACAATCAGGCTGCCCAATAGCGTTATACGAAGTGGTGGATTTAGCCCTTTCTTCATTGATATTCAGTACATGCAGTTAATGCGACTTAAATTCAGATCACGACTCATAAGGCAAAAAGATAAACTACTAAAACTTGAATGTATTGATGTATCAATGCGTGTTCCAATTTGGATTAATATCTACTGATCAAGTTAATAACCACTTCTTAGATAAAAGCAACATTTACATGTATGGAACCCAAATATTTACACCAAAGACGGTGGTTTAATAAGGATACTACGTACCCATTGTGTGATCGTTTTCAATCCAAACTTGTCACCATGAATATCCATAATTCATATCCTATACAAGCTTTGTAATACAATCATGACCGTTTAAGCTAGAAACTCTAATAATACATATTCCTTATTAGCTAACAAACATAGGTAATCGTAATCTCACGTGCATGACAAAAGTCAACCAAGTGTATGGCTCTCTGTGGAACTCACTTGGTGCCCTTCTAGAATTGGACAATACAACTCACGTGTCACGACTTAAACATGGACATGTGTCCTTTCATGGGTCAACTTTTAGTTTTAATTTGAAACTTCCACCTTCAATTCCTAGCTTGCGTTATATAAACTGTAGTAGTGACATCTTAATTTTCATACATCGATCTCATCTGCAATTATCATTGTTGTATTATTTTCTCAACCATGGAGTCACCGATAATTACTATCAAAGTTATCATTTCATTCTTTTGCTCGTACATGCTTTTGTCGCACTTGCATCTCACCACTTTGAACCCTACTGCCTTCGCTTTGGAGGACTGTCAGTTTCCAGCCGTCTTTAACCTTGGGGACTCTAATTCAGATACTGGCGGATTGGCCTCATCCCTTATTGCACCAACCCCTCCTTATGGCGAGACATTTTTTGGTATGCCGGAGGGAAGATTCTCAGATGGCCGTCTCATAATCGATTTCCTCGGTATGTGTATTTGTTCTTTGACTACCTTAATTCTTACTTATTTCATAGTTTTCTCTGCTTCTACTTATTTCTTATGTGGATGAAATTACTTCTTGTTTCCAAACTGTTTCATTGATGATCTTGAAACTTAAAACAGTTTATCTGAAACTACTTGGAATAGATACCTCCGTTAGATGAAGTAGCACACATCACTATATACTTTGTTCTAAATTATTAAATTAGTGTTTCTTTTCTCATAGAAACGAAAGATTGTATACTTTTTTTTAATTAATGTAGGGTTTCTGACTTGGAATCTCTTATACACTCTAAGATTAAAGCTTGGAGAGGTATTCGTCAATTTACCATCTGAACTTGTAAGGATTGGCCAATTTCCCCCCTCAACTTTAATTTTAGCCAATTTACCCCCTCAACTCTCATAATTAGTCAATTTCCCTTCTCAACTTTAATTTTGATCAATTTCCCCCCTCAACTCTCATCATTAGTCAATTTGCACCCTACTGTTAATTTTTTTAATTTTTCATCTATTCTTCCATTAAGTAGGTATCCGCATGATTTCCTTTAAAGGGCAAAAAAGTCATGTTCCCTACATCTTTTATCTACTTCTTCGAACTTTCTCTTCTTCTTCCTTTTGTCTTTTTAATTTTCCATTTATTCTTCCGTTAATTATGAGAGTTGAGGGAGGAAATTGGCCAAAATTAAAGTTGAGAGGGAAAATTGACCAATGATCACAAATTCAGGGGGTAAATTGATGAATACCTCAAGTTTGGAAGAAGAAAGTCGAACTTCAACCATGCGTACATGTATAAAACGAATCCAAAAGCAGAACATTATTGTTTGAAACCGTGGAGCCGGTTGCCTTTCTGTTGAATCCAAAAGCATAGTTTTCTTGGTGTGGCCCATGTTAAAAGGAATCCATTGAAGTTTATACGCTTCTCAATTGTTTGTCAGTCGCTCAAAAAAATTTCATATATATTCATTACCAAAATTTTTATTAAAGGCTTCACTACAAAGTTGCCTTTTAAACTTATGAAGTTTTTTTACTTTTTGTCCTTCAATTTTTTTTTTCCAAAAAATGATCATCTGTGAACGTTTCTTAAAATGATAAGTGATTATTTTTTAAGGTTATTTCACTCAAAGCATTTGTGTTTACTTTGACGAAATACTGTCTATGTATTGATTACTTCTATCTAGAATCCTAACATCTATTTTTCTTAGTTGATAAGTTGCATTTAGACACAAAATAGTAGCCAAATTGAATTGTAGTTCAGCACTAGTTTTGTCAATTCTCGCAGCTAACCCCCAACGTGGGACCAACTTTATTGACTTAAGTGACACTACCCCTAAAATTCTCAAGTAGATTATTTGACTTCCTATTTGAGTGTCATTTCTATTCTTTTTTATTTTGTGCGGTCACGGTTAAACCATGTTAACATTTTATATTAATTTTTTTATAACGATAATAAGATAAAAAATAATAAGAATATGAAATATGAACGTGATTTAACCGTGATGGCACAAATAAAAAGAGATGGGTATGGCATCTAAACATGACATAATCATCCCGATTATTCCTCAGATATAGTTGTAAAATTCTTTGCTTTTCGTTTTTGGAGTTTTATCTATTCAATAATTTTTATTTTTTGTGCTGTGGTGGTTGTCTGACAAAGCTTTTGTGGTTCAGCAAATAGTGTTGGCCACCCTTTTCTAAGCGCATATTTGGATTCACTTGGGACCAACTTCTCGTATGGTGCAAATTTTGCCACTGCAGCTTCCACAATTAGGCTGCCCAATAGCGTTATACCAAGTGGTGGATTTAGCCCTTTCTACCTTGATATTCAGTACATGCAGTTAATGCGACTCAAATTCAGGTCACAACTCATAAGACAAAGAGGTAAACTACTAAAACTTGAATGTATTGATGTATCAATGCGTGTTCCAATTTGGATTAATATCTACTGATCAAGTTAATAACCACTTCTTTGATAAAAGCAACATTTACATGGGTGGAACCCATATAAGTAGGATTCCCCTTTTTTGGTGGTTAGTACATGTCGTACAAACACAATTACAGATTATGACTAGGGTTTTGGAACGAAATTTTGTTTTTTGAGCTTTGGGCACGTTTACATATAGAGAATAAGAATTAAAATAATTTTTATGTTTATTAAAATATGAGTTTGAGAACCATTTCACTTTTTAATGCTCTCATGTGTTCAGTAGCACAAATATAATTAGATAACTGTGTGTTTCTTTTTGAAACCCATAATCAAATACCTAAACATCTAGAAGTAGAGCAACTAGAGGGGCTAGTTGTGATTATGTTAAGTAACCATGCCCTTCATCTTGATTTCCAGGAGGAATATTTGCAAGTTTACTGCCCAAGGATGAGTACTTCCCCAAAGCTTTATACACATTTGACATTGGTCAGAACGACCTTGGGGAAGGGTTCTTTGCAAACAAGACTATAAAGGAAGTGAATGCATCTGTTCCTGATATAATCACCAAGTTCTCAACAAATATTCAGGTAACCTTTGAAAATAATGACCTAATTTGTGGGTTTTTGATTATTGCCTTAATATGTTTACCAATCGATGATCATCGAGATAATGTTGTGATGTCACAAAATGCAGAAAATATATGACTTGGGAGCCAGATTGTTTTGGATCCACAACACTGGGCCAATTGGCTGTCTCCCTTACATTTTAGCTAATTTTCCATCAGCTCAAAAGGATGAGGTTGGCTGCGCAAAGTCTTACAATGAAGTGGCTCAGTATTTTAACCACCAATTGAAGGAAGCCACAGTTCAACTTAGGAAGGTTCTTCCTTCGGCTGCATTTACTTACGTGGACATATATTCTGTCAAATACTCTCTTTACAAGGAGCCCAAAAAATATGGTAAGCCACCCAAACTGTATGATATTTATACACAAAACATACCTGCATTTTAGTGGCCTCCCTTGTTAGAAAAACTTGAATTTACCATACGTTACGATACGCTGAGAGAAATGTTGAGTGGAATAGGTTCATTCAAGTTTTTCTGTCAGTTACGTTGGATGGCTAGGACTTGAAATGTCCTATCAAAATGGTCGACTTAACAATGGTACGACTAGATTAAATCAAACATTTTCACATAGTAGGAGGTAAAAAAAGTCACCTCTGCTAAGATGTAACTTTATAAACTTAGACGAGTAGTGCTATTTTTACCACTTAATATAATGTACCACAATTCAGCACCGTCTAATATTACAACTGAGGTGAACAAGCCACATCAATAAAAAATTATCTTGTGGAAAATGAGGTGTATAATCACATCACGAAAATTAAGATTCATTGTTTGACTCACAAGTCCTTAGGATTTGGTTGGTTGGACTTATATTTGCGTTAGTGTATTATATAATATGATAAGTGATGTGTTGATTATCAGTTTTTCATAACAATCGAGAGCACACCTAAAACCTAATCGTAGATTAGAGAAATTCATTAATGTTATATATTTTCCGTTGTATGAAACTTTCTTGAAACTTTTTTCAGGGTTTGAGTTCCCACTTGTTGCTTGTTGTGGGTTTGGTGGGAAGTACAACTATAGCAGTAGTGCTGGATGTGGAACAACAGTTACAGTAAATGGAAGCCAAATATTTGTTGGTTCGTGCAAAAACCCGTCAGTGAGAGTGAATTGGGATGGCGTTCATTATACTGAGGCAGCTAACAAGTTTGTTTTTGACAAAATTTCAACTGGAGCATTTTCAGATCCACCCCTTCCTTTAAAACATGCATGTCACAGGATTTAGACTAATTACAAATTAATTAATCCATAAATAAGTACTCCTGCAGACGCATGCATGTGGAAAACTGGAAATCTTTTATTGCAATAATGTTCTACCTTGTATCAGCTACTTTGAGAAGTTAAGGTAGCAGGTTAGAACCACACAAAAAATAAAGGCTCCAATATTCAGTACTGTTGTAACTATATTGGAAACTCTTATGATGAGTATATACTTGCCCACTTGTATAAGGTCTATCAGTTTCATCCTTAAGGCATGTAGTTTCCAAATGCAGATAATTTGATGTAACCATATGAAGACTGTGGCACCACTTCACTTTTAGTTTGAAGTTTATTGAGAAAACGTATTCTACTTGAGGCCAAAGAAACATCTACCGGCTTATTCGCTTTGCACACGAGTGTAGGCGCAATTAAAGTATGAAAGATAGCAAAGTTATTTACATGCCTTAAAACAATCTGTCTCCAACATCTTCAACACTTTAAACCAAAAAAAAAAAAAAAAAAGACATCTTCAACACTTGTGTGAGGTGATCAGGTTTTGCCTCAACATGAGGTCGAATCAAACTTGATGTACTCTTATTTTTCATCACATAGACCCAAGTCAATTGTCTAACAAATGTAACAAACCAACACATTCCATGTCATGTAGTAATCGGGAAGGGACCATAAACACCTGAATGAACCACATCCATAAGGAAATTCTCTTTTGTTAAAACTTAAAGGGTACGAAACA